CGGTGACTAGTCTGCAAAAGCTATAGTACCGGAACGGAGATGTAGGTACAGTCTTGTTCGCTGCAGATCGGGGGCGTGTCAGCGGTAAAGGTTTAGCGCGGCTCCAAACCAGCTCTCCACCAGCTGTCGAAGAGGCTCAGCGACAACCATTGGTGAAAAACGACTGGTACGAAGGATACCATACAGACTTGTCGCTTGCTCACTTCGACAACCGGTGGAAAACGGGTTCAACGCCGCTTCAATACCACCCTGCCTGACACGCCCCTTCATCCGCAGCGAAAAGATCTTTGAGCACTCATGTCCCCATATTCCTCCTCATCAACTGCCAGTCGCCTTGAAAGCGCGCATTTTTCGACACTCAAACGCTTTTTAAGAAAAGCTGGTATTTTCAAACCGTAAAGACGTCGAAAAAAGATAAATCGGGCTAAAAACCCATGAGGCACACAGTACAGTAATAATATATACATGTTTATCACGAACACAAAGAAAATTTCGAAACACTATATATACAAAGCTAAGAAGCCGTAGTATGACCGCAAACAAAATAATGCAACATTTAAGGGTTGAAAAAAGCTCGCAGAACTCTGAGTAAGACTGGGACCTTGAACAACAACTATGGACAACAAAGAATTTGTACAACGATAGGGACTTAAAGGGATTATAGTTCAGAAGGGGGAGGGGTGAAACAACATCGAGAAGTTACCAGAGTAATCTCAAAAAAACACCTGTTTCGCATCATTTTGATGAGATTCCTCCGGGACAATAGGGACATTTCAAGCGATTATTTCTATGATTACTACACAGTTTGCTTACAGCTTCTCTCGATATCACATGCCCACAAGTAAGTCGCATGGGAGGATTACTATCCGTACTTTGTTGCCGTAAAATTGGACAAGTAAATGTTGAATGGACGTATTCGTCGATTTTCACTTCGACTGGCAACTCTTCTCCATTGAAGAGATGGTCCTGACGGCTCACCATGACCTGTTTCAGGTTCACAAGAATCGGTACTGCTCGCATTCCAGTTAACAGTACATTGAGAAATTTTGTATCGCTCTGAGCCAAAGCTACTGACATCCTTGACTCGAGCATGGGCCATGCCAACGGACTGAATAGCGCCTCATAACGTGGGTCATTTCGATCCTTACCCATCGCCACAGCTCCCATCACTTGAGCTGTTTCGTTCTCGTATCCGAAAGCTGACAACTGTCGACCAAATCTCATAGCCTCCACTCTTTTGCCGTCCTGGATTAGCGCTATCATATGCTGTTTTAGGAGATCATACTGTAGTTTCGTGTCACTATGAGGATTCTGCTGTAACCAAGACAGCGCTGGTTGAATGTCCTGGTTTTTAAGTGCTTCCATGATCCAATCAATGATCTTTCTATTAGCCAGATAGCCATCAATTCGTCCGCCGAGGCCTGTCTCTTTCACGAGAGTTTCTGCAATGTTCGTATGTCCACATGTCATCAAATAATCGCAAATCATTCCATTAACGAGACGCTCTGCTTTCGGATCCCTTTCGATATCCTTTTCATTGCGAATCAAACCTCCGATTTCCTTTTGCGTTGTTTTATCAATTTCTTTACCGATTTGTGACACCGGGTGATGAAGAGATTTGTGATGGGCTAGCATCTGCGTAAGCGTTTCCTCACCGCGAGCTGCCACCTCCTCCAGTAACATCTGGGCAGTTACCGACAATTCTGGTTCAGCATCATCAGACAGCAGCTCACGATCGTACAAATCGGCACTTGACAGGACTTTCGACATATTTGCCTCCCATGTCGCATCAAACTTATCCAGTTCGTCTGATAGATGGTTCAGCGCCGATTCAATTTCCACTAACGACTCATGGGAGTCCGCCATGACCCTATAAAGAAGAACGAAGGATTATTCAGATACCCAGCAGTAGGGCCGCGTTTATACTTCGCAAAGCGACTGTCGTGCGACTGTGACCGACCCGTGCTCCACGGCTATCGATGGAACGCTACCGTGGTAGCAAGGTGGAAAGAAGTTCAACATAGTGAACTGGCAGTTGTGGCAGTCCAAAATTAGCGCTAGAGCGTGTTCGGTCGCAGTCGCGCGTCAGGATCGCTCGAATCGCGAGGTATGAGCGCAGCATAATACGGACAAAAAAAAGAGAACTCAGAAGTACACGTGGAAAATAACCAGTGACACCAAAGACAAAATAACTGAAATCAATTTATGCGGCTCAGAAGTGGTGCTGCTTCCATTACCACGACACTAAGCAA